GAACAGTTTTACTCTGTCACCAGGCACCATGCTAGAGTGCAGTGGCACAATCTTGGCTAACTGCAACCTCCACCTCCTGGGTTCAACCAGTTCTCCTGCCTCAGCCTCCCGAATAGCTGGGACTACAGGCACGCTCCACCATGCCCAGCTAATTTTTGTATTTTTAGTAGAGGCAGAGTTTTGCCATGTTGGCCAGGCTGGTCTCGAATTCCTGACCTCAGGTGATTCACCCACCTCGGCCTCCCAAAGTGGTGGCATTGCAACCCTGAACCACTGCACCCAGCCAACTCTTTTATTCTTAATAAATTTGTTTTTTCTTTTTCTTTTCTTTTGGTTTGCTTGTTCCACACAGGGCCTTGTTCTGTTGCCTAGAGTGAAGTTACAGTGGTGTGATCACAGCTCACTGCAGCCTCAAACCCCTGGGTTCAAATGACCCTCCCTCCTTAGCCTTCTAAAATACTGGAATTATAGGCACAAGCCACTGCACCTAGCCCTGTTTTATCTTTATTATGTAATTTTAAGAAATTTTGGATTAACTACTTGAAGGCAAGTGTCTGTTGTTTGCTTTGTAATGGAAAACTGGGAGTTCTTCCTGTGTGGTTGTGTGTATCAGCCAGCCCCTTTGATGGGTGTTTTTTGGGACACTTAAAACATAATATTCCTTCACATACTTGTAAATGCACCAGCTTGTCATCTTTGTCTTTTACCTTTTTAATAAAGTGAGATGAGGAGGGAAGGGGTGAAGCTGTTGCAGAAATGGGGTGTTGCTGGAGGAGACTGGGTCTGCTGTTGAGGCCTTGTGCGCTGCAGGGGCACCCTGTGGGTGGGTGTGGGTGGCACACTGAGTCCTGAAGGGGCTGGCCTTCCAGCCTTCTTGGGGCTGCAAGCCTGCCTGTAGGTGTCCTTGGGCCTCTTGTGTGAATTACGAATCAGGGCCTTGGGTGTTGAGTGTCCCTGCTGCTGCAGCAGAGTGGGTGCAGGTTTAGGTGTTTGCTAGGATTAGCTGGAAATCTGGTGGCCAAGGGCAGAATCTGGCTCAAGGTCATAATGTGTCTATCCTACTTTACTTAAAAAATTGAATTGGTGCCAACAGTTAAAATTTGTGTTATTGTACCTACAAATCCTGGATTTTGCTTTTTCTCTCCTGAGTTTTTTTGGTTTTTGGGTTGGTGTCTTTTTTTTTTCCCTTATTTTCTTTTTGAGGAAGAGTCTCTCTCTGTCACCCAGGCTGGAGTGCAGTAGTGCGAACTCAGCTCACTGCAACCTCTGCCTCTCAGGCTGAAGTGATCTTCCTGCCTCAGCCTCCCCAAGTGCCAGGATTACAGGTGTGAGCCACCACACTGGCCAGAAAGTTACTTTTGATATATTCTGGTTGCATATGCTTTTTTTTTTTGAGACAGAGTCTCACTCTGTCACCCAGATTGGAGTGCAATGGCGGGATCCTGTTTCACTGTAACCTCTGCCTGCAGGGTTCAAGTGATTCTCCTTCCTCAGCCTCCCAAGTAGCTGAGATTACAGGTGTTCACCACCATTTTTGTACTTTTAGTAGAGACAGCGTTTCAAACCATGTTGGTCAGGCTGGTCTTGAGCTCCTCCTGACCTCAAGCAGTCCACCCACCTTGGCCTCCCAAAACGCTGGGATTACAGGCATGAGCCGCTGCGCCCAGCCCTCTGATTGCATATACGTTTTAAAAGTGGTAAGCTGACACAGATGGAGAAATATATGTGGGATCTCCGGATCCTATCAGAAAACCATTATAAACTGAACACATTTTGTGTACATCGTATTTGGTGACTGTTGGGGGTGTTAACATGAGAAGGCATGGTGTGGACTCCTGGTTAAACATGCATACTTTGCTGTTTCATCAGCTATAGACTCTCTTAGTTTCTAACTCTGCTATTTAGTGCATGCCTTCATTCAGGAAGATGATCGTGTGAAAATCATTTTGATTTTTGTTTTCAAAACCAGAAGGGTACATACCAGAATATTAACGATGGTGGTCAGAAAGGAATAGAGTTGTTGGTTTTTTACTTGTTATTGTTTTTGGTATTTCCTTCCTTCTTTCCTTCTTGCCTACTTTCCTTCCTTCCTTCCATCCTTCCTTCCTCTGTTTCCCTTTCCCCTTCCTCCTTCCCTTCCTTCCTTCTCCTTCCTTCCTCTCTTTTCCTTCCTTCCTTTCTTCTCCTTGCCTCCTTCTCCTCTCCCTCCCTCCCTCCCTCCCTCCTTCCTTCCTTCCTTCTTTCCTTCCCTCCTTCCTTCTTTCCTTCCTTCCTTCGAGTCTCTTGTTGCCCAGCCTAGAGTGCAGTGGTGAGATCTCAGCTCACATTAACCTCTGCCTCCAGGGTTTAAGCGATTCTCCTGCCTCACCTTCCTGAGTAGCTGGGATTACAGGTGCATGCCACTGTGCTTGGTTTTGTATTTTTTTTTTTTTT